GACCCAGAAATTTGACGGCCATACTCTATTCACGTTCCTTAAAAGAAAAGGTAAATATCTCGGTTTTATTGAGATTTAGGCTTAGAGTGTTATCTGCGAACCCCTCACGAAGTTTTTGTACTATTATGTCTAAATTTTGTTTAATTAAGGCACCATCAGTGTAACTTTAGAGCAAGGTGGTATCGTCCGCATATTGGACTGTTTTCATATTAGGAAAGGAGACTGGAAGTTCGTTTATATATGAAATAAACAATAACGGGCCTAAAATAGATCCCTGTGGGACACCCGCTAAGACTGGTAAGGCTAATGTTAGATTTTTTTCATGATGAACAACCTGTGAACGACCCGACAAATAGGATTGTATTAGGTGGAACGAATTGCTTCCCAAGCCATAGCTTGGCAGTTTATCAAGCAATATCTCATGCGACACACAGTCAAACGCGTTCGAGAGGACACAAAATACTGCCCCCCCCCCCCTCCCCGAGACATCCGACAATATATCCTACCAATTGTTTTCCTAAATCCAAACTGCGATTTTGAGAGAAGGTTATAATTTTCCAAGAACGATACACATGATCACATATTTCAATAGGTTTAGATGGAAAGGGCACTATGGAGATTGGTCTATAATTATTCGGGTCAATATCCTCTCCCTTTTTGAACACTGGTGACTTTTAGTTTCTTAGGGAATGTATCCAAAAGAAAAAAATTATTAATAATAATTGAAAGAGGGAAAGCTAAAACTGCACCTATCTGCTTCAAAATTTTATTACCAAGACCAAACAGATCTTTGGACGTACTGTTACATAAATCACTAACAATTTCACTCACTTCTTATGTACTTTCTGGACTCAGGAATACTGAGACATCATTATGTATATATATTTAGATCTACATCTGCTTTTTGTAAGTTAGTGGTGAGGGTATTTGATATGTTTACAAAATTGGCTAATTTTTTTCTGGTCAATCATCTTTTTTTTTACTGTCGTCTTTTTCTTTAATCGTTCTCTCTGTTTTTTTTCTCTCCCAGAATCGTCCTAAATATTTACAACGATGGACTATGTAACTTGAAATTATCAATAAGTAATACATCTGATTAGACGTGTCAGTTTTAACTCACCAAAGAAAAAAGGTTCTAGAATACGTATCATATCCAGTTTCCCTATGTTCCGAAGTTTTAAACATTCTAAAGCTGTTTAAGTATTTAAAGAAATGTTAATATTGTATTAGTAACTTGCTATTAGAAAGCGGTAGGTTGCAATAATAATTTTGATTAGATTTGGTATAGGGAACCGACCGACTCTAAAGGATAATCCGAATTTTGTTTATAAATCTTAAGAGGTCGTCTCGTCCAACGTACAAAAGTTCCTTAATGGCCACGCTAGGCGTTTTATATAATCATTAATTTTGCCTTGCTTTGTTCGAAAAGGCAAAGCCGAGGTACTATACAGCACTTAGACGTTGAATAACATTTTCCCTTTAGTCAAAAGGACTTAATACAGTTTAAACAATGGCAGAAGTCGAGAGCCACAGTTTCATTCAATTAATATTTCAATTACTTCTGTCCAATGGGGGGCAAATTCATTCGCACAAAGGGCCAAGGAAACTCCGCTATAAAAGGGTTGTAGTTTTCTGTTCGGAAACTTTAACTTCTTTGAAAACATTGTTTTTAAAACCGGGAAACAATAGTAGTGTTTTCGGCATTCAGTTTGAACTTTTATCCCGCGTAGTGAGCTGCCTCAAGTTTATTTCCATTCTTCCCGGGTGGGTTTTGTTTCGTTTAAAGACGGCAGCGTTAAATTGCGACTTCTACTTATTTTCTGAAGCGCATTGTGTAATTAAATTTCGGAATTCTTATTATTTGTGCGGAGGCACGAAAGTCCGCTCCGCCGCGAGCGGAGAACTTTTCCGAAGCAACCGTAACGAAAATTGAAATTCCGAGAACACAACTTTTGATTTATCCAGGCGACTTATGAATATACAACTCCTGAGACAAAAATCGTGGTAATTATGGGCCGGGTTAAAAAAAACTAGGGTAAAATTGGATACCAGACCATTTACACATTTTTCAAAGGAAATTTTAAATGTAAATCTATCGATAGGAGTGTGTCGCTAGCTTAAATTTGTAATTATAAAATGTAACCTCGGTTCTATAATAATATGGGGTCTGTAGATGACGCTGGTGATTCAGAACGAGTGCCGGTAAATGATGAAGTTGGGGCCAGTTAGAAATTTCTGCTTCAATATTGCTATGGAGTTTTTAAAAAAATAACATGCAATGGCAACAGTAAAAGTAACTTTTAAATAATTTACAGGAAAACAATTACAATTGAATTTTTTTAACGATGCTGTTGACATAAAGTTCATTATTTAACACCTGAAACGCCAGAACGAGGTTGAACCTAATCACAACCATAAACCTATTGGTTGATTATTGGGAAGTTTATTTGCGAATCATTTTGTTGTATACTTTTATTCCTCTATGAACAATATCGCTAAAATTGAAAAAATCAAAGCCATAGACTTAACACTTTATAATAATTGAACTGAGGTGACTTTTACTTCATAAATAAGAACTAAAGGTTCAGATTTTCACAAAATTATATATACACACATACACATATACATGACAATTATTTCGACAACACCGTGTCTTTATCACATTTGATATGTCATGTGAAAATATATAATTTCGTGAAAATCTGAACTTTTAGTTCTTATTCATTTTTCTACTTTATAATATGTAATGTAACCATAATTGAACTGGTCCAGAATAATATATTATGCAATAGTGCGGTAAACAGCATTTGACACTAGCGTAACGCAGCGGAGCGAGTGTTTAATAAACGAGTGACTTAAACGGTTTACCGAACGTGTTGCATACTATACTTTTTCTACGACCGTTAATTTATGGGTAAATTTGCGTAAAACAACAGGATTACATTTGCTGACATGACCGTCAGAATTGTCAAACGTCAAAATCCAAGGCGTGGGAAATATATCCGAAAACATTCGGAAATGTCCGAAGTGACTCGGATCCGTAGAAAACAAAGCTGACATAGTGAAGTGACGTTTCCCGCATGCTAGATCGGTGTATAATTAGGTATTTTACAGCAGGGAGTAGAAAGACAAATTTATATTATTTACCTGACATACACGTAGAATAGGCACATATCCATCTCCTTAAAGAACGATCCAAAAATGGTTGACACGACACTGGCCGATTTCTCGGGGCATCGCGTTTCCAGTGATCACGTGACCCGATTCTTTAATGTGATTTGCAAAATTTAGTGGGCTATTTGTATTTTGTAGGTTAGGTAAGTATCCTTTAATTTTGGTGTAAATTTAAATAAGCGTGGAGAGTTTTTGCCAACGGAAAGCTACATTTAACAAATATATTGCACTTACCTGTAAGTTAAGATACTTATTTTATAAAAAATATAAAAAATTAAGCTGTGTGTCTCCACCTACAGGATTATTTTTGTTGGAAACGTCAATTAAAAAGAACATATATTAATATAAAGCTTATTTTTTGTCCGATATTTTCTTAAGGAGGGGTGATTTAATTTTAATAAACTCAGGGTATACAGAGTAAAACTTTGAAAGTATTATGAAACACAGAAACTCTTTACAAAAGACTTAAAAAAAATGGAATTGAATGCAATTCAAAAAATCAAGATTCTGAACAATGTAAATATATTTACAATATAACAAACATTCATAATAATTTTAGAAGAAAACGAAGAAATGCTGCATATTTATTTCACTGAGGTTAATCAACTAAAGGTATATATCCCCTTTTTATCTAAAAATTTAAAAGATTTCAAATGCATATAATGCATTGTTGGAATGGATGAATAAAAATAAATTTATAAGTATAGCGTTTTTCTATTTACCAAAGTTTACAGAATAAACTTTATTTTCTAAAAATTCAATCTTTGCTTACTAGCAAAAACTTTACAAGCCAAATTTTTGTAAATACTAAAACAAGTCAAAACTAAATAATACCTACATGATAACCCAAAATACTGATGCATTTTCTTAAAAAACATATTATCCTACACGTCGAAAAAATAGTTTATTAATTTTGAATATTATTGTATTGCGTTATCGAAATGCTAGCAATGAATTTAAGTATGCTATAGATATTTTTCATGGAAAGCAATTTACAATTAATTGTTTTCTCTTATTATTCGATCCAGATGAAATTTAAAATTTTTTAGTTGTAAGCAACAATCACCACGAAAAGAATACCCTAGCAAAGCAATAAACAATAAACATGATTGATTTCTGTAAGATTAAAGTAGAGGCTTGATGGAGTTGTTGGAGGTGTTGAGATGTGATTTATATGCAATTTTCAACATCAAAACTTCCTATAATTCATATTGAGGCTCGGGCGTAAACTAATCATTTACTATATCAGAAAAGTACACAATCGGTTAATAAGTACACCGCGTTGTATACTTGAATAATTGACAATGAATAATACTAGTTGCCAAAAAAAATCCGCACTGCATAGTGCATAGAACAACTTGTTCGGAGAAAAGGGTCATCCGAAATACAGTTTAAATTAAATAAAACGTATGAAAATGTGCTTAACTCGAATGAAATAAGTTGTCATTAATTATTAATTCTACAGGTAGCTAAGTTTGCAAAATATGACCAAAAGTTATAACGCATTTTTAGGTATAGCATTAAATTAACTTATCAGTCAAGACCATTTTTATTATTCAAAAATTTTATATTTTCCGTATGGTTATTATTGTGTTATATATTCGATAAAAGCTTGAGCTCGTATTTTCTTTAAAAAATGATTTTAAATTGCATATATTATATCATTATATTAAGTTTTCGAACAATATATAATGTCGGATTTATTTCTTTACTTTATTTCAGAGAGAAAAACGTCACTAACAAACAACGACAATTGTTCCCAACATACGATGAAGAGTCGAATAAAAGTGCGTTCATGAATTAATATCGTTTATTTTTGCAGCATCGATTTGTACTAATTAAATATAATAAATTAACAACTTGTCAACAATTACACTCTGTACAGTTGCTTCGTTATTGATATAATTACAACATAGATATGGCGTATGTATGTACAGAACTACATCAGTCGCGTATAATAAGTGTCAATAATCACAGAACATAAATTTCTAAACGAAATTAATAAAACGAACATTGTTAAGAAGATATTTACAAAAAATACCGCTTCAATTTCGGCAAAACTATAGCTAAAAAAAGTCGCTATCACATACGAAATCGATTACCGTCACTATACTAGTACATTACTGGAACAGGTCTTCTGATTTCCAAATCTGCGCTGGCTGGACTCGACGCAGGACTCGAAGACGCCGAGTACATCATCTGGTGGCTCGGAATCGAACTCGGAATCGATGGAAACATAGCCATGTGATGCGACGGTGCGAAACTCTTCGGCGGAGGCTGCTGATACAACGACGAATATAACGAGGAGTGCAATGAAGTTACCACAGCCGGTGACGAAGTTTTATCGGCCGTCGGATGTAAACCGTGCGGCACGGTACCCATACGAGACATGTCGAAAGCGGGATTGAAATAAGGATAAGGACTACTAAGAGTATCCATCGGAGGGAAATAAGGCAACTGCAAACTCGGAAATCCAACACTCGTCTTAAGGCCCGACGTCAGAGGACCTTTCGGTTTACGCCTCGGTCTGTACTTGTAATCCGGATGTTCTTTCATGTGCAAAGCGCGTAGCCTTTTGGCTTCGTCGATGAACGGCCGTTTGTCGGCTTCCGACAACAATTTCCATTCGGCACCAAGCCTCTTGGATATTTCAGAGTTGTGCATTTTCGGGTTGTCCAATGCGATTTTGCGTCGCTGTATTCGAGACCAAACCATAAACGCGTTCATCGGTCTTTTAATGTGACCCTCATTGTTCGGACTCGAAGGAGAATGAGACTGTTGAGGTTGCTGATGAGATTGATAATCTTCCATCAACGGCGCACTAAACCCGTACATGGTAAAGTTATAATATCAGAGTATCACTGTAAACACCGGACGTTAAACTGAATTCAATGTTCACTAAACTGAACCTGGTACACGACTGATGCCCGTAACGAAGCCTAAATGGTGTTTTGTAGCCATAGGCGTGGCGCTGGTTTAAGAGAATCGGTGGAAAGGGACGCCCCGCCCTGCTTTTTTCTCCATTGGCTGTTCTTCCCCACTTTTAAACGTAGCGGCAGCATAACCGTATACTTTATTTTACACATTTTTCGGTTGTCTTCTTTTTGTGTTTCGTTATGTACCCCATAGTGGATGTAATAATATTCTTATACAAAATATCAACCTGTTCGTGTTTTCTTGATAATACGCGGACGTAAAATATGGTCATTGTCGTGCGATATAATCTTCGAATTAATGTGCCTACGAATCTCTTGCATTATTCGTATTCGTCGCGGGAATATAGTTCCGCCATAAATTTCCGTTTACGCGCCGTACTGTATATAACAATTGACTTTGCATTTCACAGTTTGTTCGGCGCGAATATCAATAGGGATTATGTTATGGCGAAACGGTGTTTCTTTTTGGTGGCTCTCTTTTTCCAAAAAAAAAAAATGAAATGGATAAATCAAAAACTTTTCAGCGAGCGACAAATAATTAATGATTTTGGACAATTAAACTGCAACTTCTTTTGCAAAAATGTTTGATTTCTAAGCTCACGAATGAAAAATTAATAGGTAGTTACCTACGAATAATTTTAATATGTTAAAAAGACAGATCTCAGACAAGAAATCTAAAATGTTAAACAGTTTTACCTAAATTACAATAAATATTGTAAAATATCGTATCCATTCAACGTACATAGTTCCTAGAAAACTGTTTAGATAAGTATGTATGTATGTGTGTGTATTGACCAATAGGTACATGACCGTCATTAACTAAAAAATCTTAAGGTAAATTAAAAAAGACATAAAATAATGGAAAAAATTGATTTCTAAAACCTACCTAATAATTGCATCAATTTAGGTAAACGCAACTTTAATCACGAATTTATTTTGGCCAAATAAACTATAACTTCTTTTGCAGTTTCTGTTCAAAAGCATCTGTCGATGAGAGCGGTGTAGCAAAGGCCTGACTTTTAAGCTCGCGCCTGAAAATTTCATGCGTATTTGCTACCTACGAATAATTTTAATAATATGTTAAACTTCAAAATAATTATTATTTAATTAACGAAGGACAGATTAGGTCATACACACGAAACATAAGATTTTGTTAGCTTCAAGAAATTTAAAATTTCAAACAGCTTTAACTAATTTACACTAAACTATTTAGATAAGTATATATGTATGTGTGTGTATTGACTAAACATAAAATAATACAAAAAATTAATTTCTAAAACTATAACTAAACTAAGTTAAAACTAAATTAAACTATAACTTCTTTTGCAGTGTCTATTCAAAACCATCTGTCCATGTCAGCGATGTAGCAAAAGCCGGACGTTTAAGCTCGCGCCTAAAAATTTCATTATGTGTTTACTACCTACTAATAATATATTAAACTTCAAAATATTTATTATTTAATTAACAAAGAACAGATTAGATTATACACACAAAACATAAAATTTTGTTACCTAAAAGAAATCTAAAATTTTAAACAATTTTACTTAAGTTACAATATATGTTCTAAAATATAATATTTATTCAACTTACATATTTCCTACAAAACTATTTAGATAAGTCATACATGACTGTTATTAACCTAAAAAGCTTAAGGTAAACTAAAAAAACATAAAACAATACAAAAAATTGATATCTAAAACTATGAGTAACTTATTAATAATTGAAAATATACTTTGCAATAATTTTGGTAAACGCCATTTTAATCACGAGTTTATTTTGCTTAACAAACGAGTGACTGAATCTTATCCACGCGTTGCACACAATACCTTTTCAAAGACAATTATTTTTTCTACTCCCGTCTGTAAAATACCTAATTACACACCGATCTACCGTGCGGGAAGCGTCACTTTACCACGTCAGTTTCGATTCCCACGAATCCGAAGCTACTTCGGACATTTCCGGGATTTGACCGCACTTGATTGGGAACTATCGGATGTTTTCGGAGATATTTCCCACGCTTTTAATTTTGACGTTTGTCAATTCTGACGGTCATGTCAGTGAATGTATTAGCGTTGTTTTGCGAAAATGTCCTAGACGCGACGGTCGTAGAAAAAGCATAGTATCTATGCAACACATTCGGTAAACTTTTTAAGTCATTCGTTTGTTAAAACACTTGCTCCGCTTGTGTCAAATAAATTCGTGAGTCAAATGCCGTTAACCGCACTTGTTGCATAATGTACTATTTTGGGTAGTATTGAGTGACATATGGCGTGACCATGAGAAATGGCAATCGTCAAAATACCACGCCTAAAATCTACCAAAAGCATCCGATCCGTTCAAAACCCGTGAGTAAAGCACCGCAAATATCTGAAATGGCTGACGACTGTGTGGTACAATTGGGTATTTTAGAATAATGAGTAAAAAAATGTATTTTTATGATCAAATTGCCAGAAATGTAGTAGATAATTTCTGGCAATTTCCATCTGTCGATGGAAACTAATAAACTGAGAATACTTAATTTTGTTTTTGGTAAAACTGTCAGATACATTGCATCTCTTTCGTACATGTCATGTAAAAGTTGCCGATTAGCCTCAGTTCAATTTAATTAATTAGGTAAAATAATCACTGATTAGTTGTGGTAAGTTTACTAATTCCACAAAATTGCAATTACTAATTAGATAAAATAATGACTTGATCGCTTACTAATCATGATCTTACTTACCTAATAATTAAATAAATATGTAGCTATCAATTACTAAACTAGCCAAAACTTACTAATAACCAACTAACCAGCAAGTTTTTTCCTAATATAATACTTTTAATTGTTAAGTTGCTAATTAAAAAATAATTAGTTCTGGCTAGTTTAGTTCCAACTACCCAAGCCTCACCAGTGAGAATTTTATCTAATCACTAAAGCATGTTAATAATAGTAATTAGAAAAAAAAATACATATTTATTTTACACTTTATTCACAGCAGAAGTTGTGGACATGTTTTGGGATAACTCCAAAAGCGTTTAAGAAGGAATCATATAGTTGTGAGATTGTTTTGTTCAGCAAAACAAGTTAAGTTGCAAAGTTAAAATTCGAATCAAAGTTCAAAAAATTAATTGTATGGAACCATTATCAATGGCAATACTTTTTCAGTCGCAGTTAATGCTATTTAATTCAATCTCTGAAACAAGTATTTATAAATATCACTCAGATCTTCTATCAACTACACAAGTGTGATTGTTATGTTGTGTAAGTAACGATTTAGCTTCTATAAACTTCACATTTTAAAAGTTTTTCGACGTCGAAAAACGGTTATATTGTTTTACAACGTCGGACAAATCCCGTACAATAAAAATAAATTCGACCCTTGCTTCTTGTCTTACCCTCCCTATTTGGCAACAAAACAAGTATAAAAGTTAATAATTTTATGACGGAGCCACAAAGGACGGAATTATTGTATTTATAACCGAACAAAGGGTCGGAGAATTGTCGAAAATATTGCCGTTCCTTCGTCGAAGTATTTCCGAAGGTAACGGGCATTATTTGCACCCCCAATAAAAACACCAAAGTCAATTTAGCAAATCTCAGTTTGACAATAAAATCAGATTGTTGACAAAAGTTTACCTGCAGCGCGCGAGACACCCTTTAAAGTTAATATTTTGGGGTTTAACTTTTTGTAAATGTCCATTATACAGCTTTGTTCAAAGAAATGGGAATTATTGGCCGGGGTTTTGCCTTGTCTATTTACCTGCCGCACAAAGAGTGTTTGGCGATAATCCAATTTTGGGAAACGTTACCTTTCATGGTTCTCTAGAGAAACCTAGCCGAATCTAAAAAGATAAATTTCTGTTAGATTTTGAGTACTTTTATGAATCTACCTAATGAAAATACAACGAAAGTTTGTTATTCCTCAATATATATATTTAGTATTGCAATAGAAAAGAAACATATATTAACGTCATGGTATGACAGCCAATTATGCAGCAACAATAAGTTGGAAAACTAAATATATCATAAAGTTAATTGACCTATAAGTGTTTGTTTAAGATCGTTAAAGTTTTAAATACAAAAGGCATTGAAAGACAGTGTCTGAGAATATTCTTGCAAATTTTCATGAGGAAATATATGCCTGAATACCACGGAATCCCAAAATATAAGTTTTATTGTGTGTCATTAGTTGTGATATATTCGTGGTTTCTCCATTGGTATGGCGTATGGAAGACATTTGTGCCAGTGTACAAATAGATATTATTTTATAAAAAAAGAAAATTAGCTTAATAAAAAAACCTTGTTGGAAAACGGTTATTATTATATAAAATTTGATTCTATATGGTAATGAAGAACGAATTTGTTTTCAATATAAAGTCGTTCCCAACAAAATATGGATATCATGAGACTTCTAAGATATTCTTTAATCTAATTAGTAAGCACCTACATAAGTGATATAAAAATTGCACGCAAGTATTTTGTGATTTGTGTAAATTTATTGTAAATAAGTAAGTATATAATCTGGATTAAATACACTTTCAATCATAGTTGAGAAGCTTGACATTTCCTAGTCACTTAGAAAGTAAAAAAAATTAGATCAAACGAAACTCAGAATTCCAAATATCAAAATATTTTTGCCACCTTGCTAAGAGACATACTAATAACAAAGCAAAACGGTTAGAAAAATAGAAAAAATATAATCAAAAAATGGATGTTTTAAGACCACAGTCGGCTGTGTCCACAAATCTAATATAACTCCGCTCGTTGTTAAATGCAGTACATAGAAACAAGTGATTCTATTTAGTGACTTTTAGTTTGCATATTGGCCCTTGCTAAATTTAAGAAACGTACCTGCATTAAAAAGTTAGTTGATCCGAAGTACATAGAGGTGTTTCACAGTTATTTTACCAATAATACATAAAGTTTTTTATGTTCTGCTAAGGTACATCCGTGTATGCCGCTTTCATATGTATTTGGCATTGCCAAG